TGTGTGTGTGTGTGTGTGTGTGTGTGTGTGTGTGTCCTGTTGTGGCTGGCTGTAAGTTCCTACTCAGACTGTGCCCTAGATAAACTTAGTATCACAACACCACTGAATTATTCGCATCTCTTTCTGCTTTGTGTCTAACCATCAGAGTGAATAAACCATTTGCCATGACAAGTTCAGCCCTGTCTACATGAGTAGATGAGATCAAACAACAACTGGGAACAGAGCTAGGCAGAGCAAATTAATAATATAATGAACCATCTTGTATTTTCTAAATGGCTCCCCATCTCATTAGGTTGCTTTGTTACAATGAATAAATACTCTAATGCTGCTCTCCTGTTCTGTAGTTGACTACAGTCTTATGCAAGATTTTTTTTTTGAAAAGTGATTATTGGTACATTGATATGATAATAAAAAGTTGATAAAATGATTAAAATGTTGATCCATTACTTTATAATACACCATGAATATAATCACTCTTGCTATGTTTGCAAATTGAAAAATGGTTCATGGGCCTTCTCACTCTATCCCTCTGCCCTTCATTTCCAACTTCTCTCTCTCTGTAATAGGAAATATTCTATTTTTATTTTTAAAAAAATGGAAATAACGACCTGTCTGTTTTAAATACTTGAAGTTGTGTCCTCATGCGTTAATCTGGTTCCCAACTTTGTTACTAAATTAATATAACATAAAACATAACATTAACATAAAATAAGCACACATGTTTCCCCATATTAAATATATATATATATATACAGTGTATATTTAAAGCCTTGAGGTTGTGTCCTCATGTGTTAATCTGGTTCCCAACTTTGTTACTAAATTAACAAACTCTGTCATAATAACGTCATTCTTTCATCACTTCATCTGTTTAGTCATCCCGGTTGTCATGATTTTGTACTGTAAACAATTAATTATTGAAAAGTGGATATATGTAGATTTATAAAAACTATAACTTTTCTGCTATAGCTAAATCAGAATTTAACAAAAATTTAATAATTGAACATAAATTGTTATACATAATATTATTAATTTTACTTTTAAATAACACAGTTTGAAGTTGTGTCCTCATGCGTTAATCTGGTTCCCAACTTTGTTACTAAATTAACAAACTCTGTCATAATAACGTCATTCTTTCATCACTTCATCTGTTTAGTCATCCCGGTTGTCATGATTTTGTACTGTAAACAATTAATTATTGAAAAGTGGATATATGTAGATTTATAAAAACTATAACTTTTCTGCTATAGCTAAATCAGAATTTAACAAAAATTAAATAATTGAACATAAATTGTTATACATAATATTATTAATTTTACTTTTAAATAACACAATGCAGTTTATTAAAACAAAGAAAAAAATTAATTATTTGTCTGAATTAACTACATGTACTTACTATATGGTTAGGGTTAGGGTTTGTCCTAAGGTTACTTGCATGTAATTATGCATTATTTATTGTTATTTTTATAATAGTGCATGTAACAAGGACACCTTAAAATAAAGTGTTACCCATTTTAGTTATTCCTATACTTCCATTTGTAGATTTGATGATTTTATTGTTACTCTAAAAAGTGTAAAATAATAATAATGATATGAGAAGGTGTCTCCAGACTGATTTATTATCTAAATACTACTGTTATCAAATAAAACCGCATGACATTCGATATAGAATTCCTCAAATTCCATGCAGTGAATTACAGCTGAATGTGTTTATACAGTCTCTCGTACGGAAATCTTCACGGGCGTAAATCAGCGTGCCACTAATGTGCCAAGTGTGGGCACAGGGCCATCGATTCAGACAATCTATTTTGGTCGAAGACCAGGTGGTGAATGTGTGCTCCGTCTATTAACCCCTGACCAGTTATTCTTCACATTTAACACTATCTGTGTCTTTCAGCAGAAGAAGTTCAGTGCCTACAGCAGGATCTAAATTAACAAACTCTGTCATAATAACGTCATTCTTTCATCACTTCATCTGTTTAGTCATCCCGGTTGTCATGATTTTGTACTGTAAACAATTAATTATTGAAAAGTGGATATATGTAGATTTATAAAAACTATAACTTTTCTGCTATAGCTAAATCAGAATTTAACAAAAATTAAATAATTGAACATAAATTGTTATACATAATATTATTAATTTTACTTTTAAATAACACAATGCAGTTTATTAAAACAAAGAAAAAAATTAATTATTTGTCTGACAGAATGTTTAAATGCCTAATGTTAGATCTGAAAGAAAATCACCCAGTAAATTGTGGTTTGGGCACTCAGTTGGTCTACAGCAGGTGGCAGCACATGCCTAATGCAAACCTACCTAAAACATTGCTAATTATGAGGACAGGACGTAAAATCAAAACCACAGTTATTACAGTTTCCCTCAAGCGCTTAACATATTACCATTACCAACTAATATACCATATTATCAAAGGCCATAAGTGAACATAAATGAAGTTTAGGAGTGCAAAGCAATAATGCAAATAAAGGTGTAGCTAATGCCCTTAACAACCTCAGCTAAGTTTCTGTTAAGTTTTATTTAAGTGTTAGCTTTGAGCGTTTACAAGATAACTCATTAGCAAGCGGTTTGTCGTTACTAGCCGTGGTTTGTGATTATTTGTTTCAGTTTATTCAGCGAAGTCCTGATTCCACCAATCAGATCGCAGCGCTCCAAACTTCCCACCAATCAGAGAAGGTCCTGTAACTTCCATGAGCAGCTCGCGCCTGTCGCTCTGTTTTGATGCGCTGTCTGTCTGTAGGTGGTGAAGCCTCGATAGGGACACTTTTGTTTTTATGCTAATATTTTCTTTTACAAACTGCGGCGCTTTTGTCAACGCTCAGGTTTATATTGGGGGGAATGATGACAACATTTATCTGTGGTTGAGGAAGCTGCCGTGTTTCTGAAGAGCCTCTTGAGATCGTCTAAGCCTCTGCCATGAGTTGTTTGGATGTTATGTATCATCAGAGTTATGGAGCTCATCACTACTTGCCCGCGACATCAGCAGCAGCGGCTTACAAAGCGGCATATTACCATCACCAGCAGCAGCAGCACCAGCAGCAGCAACAACAACAACAGGTATGTCATATATTAGGGCTGACACACACAACTCATGAAGAGTTAGAAAAAGAAAGTTCTGTATTTTTGCGCTCCTACAGCATCATCTGTATAAATGTTGCATAATGTGGTCATTATTTGTTAATTCAATTAATATTTTCAATCCCTATTTCCGTGGAGACATCGGGGATGTGGTGGACGAGCATTTCTCACGTGCGTTGAGCCAGCCCAGCGCATTCAGCAGTGACGCCAAGACCGGGAGACTTCACTCTGGAGGACCATGGAAAGGTAGAAGACAGTGTTTTATGGGAATCTACAATATTAATAATCCTAAAATGCAATAATAGTGCTTATAGATAAATGTAGTTATTGATTGGATTGAAACGGAATCATTTTATACAGTTCATTATCAAGCATTGTTGCGTTCCAAATCTGTGGGTCAAATTGACAATTTAATGAATCCAGTCACTCTATTGACATTAATAGTTCTCACACATTACAAAAAAAAAAGACGGACATATTCATATTTATAAATTTAAAACTGTATTTAACATTTTTGTGCATTTTATAAACAGTGTTGTAACTATTTTTTAAACATCTTAAGTAGAAAATTGTGGAAAAGTACTTCTTCTGTGTGCTTTCCTGAAGCTCAAACAGTAAGATCATCCCAAAGCCAAAATTATGGGTCCGATTCCCATCAAAATTGGGCATCAAAACATCAACGCAGTGTACATTTCTTTGGATGAAAGCATCTTCCGAATGCGTAAATGTAAATACCCTTAGAGGCTAGTTGGGAAACTAACATAACAAAATACATACCATTTTTCTGCATTTAACCATGAAATTTGCAGGTCAAACTGATCCAAAAACAAACATCATAATCATAATAGAAATTTTGTATGCACATTCCACAACACATCAGGTTGTCGAAACTTTGCATGCATGCTGATGAATCTAAAAGAGAAAAAGTGACAAAATAGCAAGAAAAATGATGGTTAAAGAGTATTTTCGACAACTCAAAAATAGACATAGTTCCAGTCTTGGCTTCTGATTGGTTAATATAGCTTCGCTGCTTAGCTAAACACATTCTGTGTTTGTGAACTTTTTTTTTTTTGTCAACATCAAGATTTTATATTAAAAATGTATATAAAACTAAGTGTATATTTTTACATTTTTAATCACTTTTTCTTGGTATTATGGGGTGAACGTGATTTCACCGAGTGCAACATGATCCTGGAACAACAGTCCAAACAACCAATCAGAATTGAGGGGTAAATTTACAGGAAATGTCTGTTTTAGGCTTACAACAACAGTTAGGAGCTTCTACACCCTTGTTATTCAACCATAATTTCCCACTGATTTTAGGGATAAATTATGGTTAGGTTTAGGGGTAGGGATAGGGTTAGGTCTATATTTTTGGACAATAATGTTGATCCAGGATCGACAAAAGATGTTGAAATCACGGTGACCGTATGGCAGGATTCTACAAAACCATTTAAATCAGATATTATGGCACTGAGGAACTAACTGTTTGTTGTGTTTCAGAAGGAAACTCCCACTCCGAGGGTCAACCTTTACCATCGTCCCTGTGGGGTAGCGGCTACCCATCTCAGACCTCCTCTCACCCTGCCTTCCACCCTGCAGACACTGGCCTCTGGAGCAGCCACAGCCTCACGCAGACTGGCCTGCCCCCTCCCTCTGCTCTCCCTGACTCTTGGCACTACGGCCTGGGAGCGCAGGGTGGAGCGGGATACCCTCACGTACACGAGATGTACCCTCACATGCACCCCCGTCACCCACACCCGCACTCCCATGCCCACCACGTGCTCCATCACGCCCACAACCCCGCTCTGGACCCGCGCTTCAGCCCGCTTCTGCTGCCTGGTGTGAGAGCGTCTTGCAGCCCGACGTCCTGCGCAGACGGAATCAAAACTGAGCTGGAACCGAGTAGCATCCCAGCACCAAGCTGGCCCGCTTCTTTCCATGGGTCAGTGGACATCTATCATGATACAGGTGAGACAAGATGAGGGAATCTGTACACTTCTGCAGCATGGGTGTATATACAGTGTTATGGGTTGTGTAAATTATCATAGCATAGTCATTTGTGTTGGAAATAACCATGTGATTATTGGACTTCGCATTCACTACCTTTCAAAAGTTTTGGGTCAGTAAGATTAATATAAGTATTATGCTCAGCAAGGCTGCATTTATTTGATTTAAAATACAGTAAAAACTGTAAAATTGTGAAATATTATTACAATTTAAAATAGTTGTTTTCTATTTAAATATATTTTAAAATGTAATTTATTCCTGTGATGCAAAACAGAATTTTCAGCACCGTTACTCCAGTCTTCAGTCTCACATGATCCTTCAGAAATCATTCTAATATGCCGATTTGATCAAGAGAAAATTCTTATTAATACCAATGTTGAAAACAGTTGTGCTGCTTAATATTTTTGTGGAAACCATGATACATTTTTCAGGATTATTTAATGAATATAAAGTTCAAATAAACAAAATTTATTTGAAATAGAAATCTTTTGTAACATTATAAATGTCTTCACTGTCAATTTTGAACAATTTAATGCAATTTCGATTAATTTCATGCATTAATGCATAATTTCATGAATAAAAGTATTAATTTCTGACCCCAAACTTTTGAACAGTAGTGTATATAACAAATGAATAAGTCTAGCATCAGTGCAAAAACAGCTTCACATTATGAGTTAAAGACACAAAACACTAAATTGAAAGGATAGTTGCGACTCATATTGCCCTTTAATAACTAGTTCTTCCTTAGTTTGAAAAATCTCAAACTTTTCACATTGTTCTATAATTTTCTTTTACATCTAAATAATGTAAAGCCAGATTTATATATTTGGATGCATGAAATATCGCTACCATATCAGTTACAGGCTAATATATTTGGGGCAGTATTGGATATGTTAGTCGATGTTGGATACTTGTGCGTATTGAATAATTGTGCATCATTATTTTCTCTATTTTTACAATATATATATGCTGTATAAATGACATATGACACATTTCTGTTTTCCTACATGATAAACCATCATACCACACAACCCAAATGTTACGTTGCTGAGTAAAGCAAACATGTTTTAACGATTTATTTGCTTACCCACAGCGCTTGAGCAAGACAAAGCGAAGGCCAGTGTTTGGTTCTGAGACAGAGAAGATTCACTGGACTCCATGCCTGAGACGGGACCACTTCTGCAGCTGAGGCCCACAGCACTGCGTGTGGATTCCTTCTTCACAGGACTTTCATGGGAACTATTCAGGGGAACATCAGTCTCTATCAGTGAGAGAAGCACAAAAACAGTTTTGGGGAAAACTAGTGTTTTTGTAAAGCATACCATCCTGTCTGAGCTTGTGCCCGCTCATGGACAGAGATCCAGTTCAGGACGCTTCTGTAAAGAGCTGTGGACCCCAAATGAAGTTTAAGAGGTATATCTCCCTCTTTCTTTTTGAGGTTTTCTCGAGACGGTTGATGCTTTAGAACTGCGTTTATGTACTTACCACAGGTTCTGTTGAAAGAACTGGTTGTATTAGTACAGCAGGCAGAAATGTGTGAGAAAATCTTGATTTACTTTAATATATTTGTCTTGTGACTTTACTGATTGGTGTTTTCTGTTCGTAATACATGTTAATAGGTTATTTTTGATGTCAAATCGTCTAAGGAATAAGTCATTCGTTTTACTGCTATACATGAACTGCTAAGTTTTATTGGCAAACAATCTGTTGTGTTTGGATGGATTTATTAAATCATTACAGTGGTTACTGTCTCTTTAAATGTTGCCAGTCGTAGTGCTTCATAATTTCGCATTTATTTTAAATCGGTTTACTTTCCCTCGTCGACAAGGCATTTGAGAGGTCAGTGGCACCAAAACACACCGCTTATGCTGCTCTTGACCAATTTTGGGAAGGAAATAAGGAGAGCGCAAAGTCCCAGAAGGGATAGCGTCATTCCATTCACATTTAACTTCATCTCTCGCAAAGCTGCACAATCTGGGACATGTCATAAATGGAGTTATATTGCAAAAATGTTTATGTGAATGCTCTTAAGTGTCAAAAGTCGGTATGCGCTTCCTGTCTGGCGATCCAAGACGACTTGAACAATTGCAGTTAAAACAGACTCCTCTCATCCACTGCAGATACGTCCTAATAGAGGTCCAGATAAACCGAAAGAATGTGGCGATCGGCCTTGTATCTTCCACCCAAATCCACACGAAGAATGCAAAGAGCGTAGAATATGCAGTCTGGTGCGAAGTCGAACATTATTTTGGAGAGCTGCAGCTTTAAATCTTTTTATACAAGCGCAGTGCCAGATATTGCATTATATTTGTCGTAAAAGACAGCTGTTGGGCTGGTTGTCCTGTGGCAGTGTGAATGCAGGGTTCGAGAGAGAGATCTCTGACCCTCACATTCCTCACATCAGCAGCTGCTCCATACTGAGGCACAATTAGACACTACTCCATGATAGATTTCTCAAACTCAAAGATTGAATGTACACTCGTGGTGTGTGTTTTTCAAAAAACTGCATTTGCAGATACTATAATATTAATAAATGAAAAGGCCACTGAAGTACACGTTTAAAAAGTACACTGTGTAATAATATCAAATTAGAAGTTTTACTTTAAATTAGATTTTAAATCATTGTTTTAATATTTGTTTGTCATGCTTTAAAGAAGTACACTTATTTTGATGTGCTGACTAACGCACATGTACTTGATTATCATTTTAGCTGTAGTGTGTTATTTGATATTATATTTAAAGTTAAGATATTTTAAATGTACTATATAGCAAGCAACAAATTACAAGTTTCGATAATATTTTAGTTTACATAAATGCTTGTCAGTGCATTCAACAGTACCATATTTATAATGATCATAATTCTAAACAAATCAAGTCTATTTATTTCATAATTTCACATTTAATTTAGTGTGTTACTCGCTGTTTCTAATGAATTGGAAAATGTACTTGCCATTTCTGAGTGAAAATTGCTTCATTTTTCATAAGTATGTCAAAAAAGCACTAGATTTCAACAGCATTTAATATAAAGTATAATAAAAATAATATTAATAAAAAATAGTATTAACGTAATTAAGTGCCTTAAAACATTACATCCAGTTATATAATTTTCAGTTATTATTGTTGTTATTATTATTATGGTTTTAAAGTTTTGTTTATCACAGTAAGGGAAAAATAACAGCAAAAAAACATCTGAACTGCCTCAGTAAATTATTAGTCATTTATTGAAAATACTGAAGATTAAAAAAAAAAAAAAAAAAAAAACCTTTATAAACCAGGTTTTTTTTTTTTGTAGAAAAACAAATGTACAGGACAAAATAAAGGGGAGTTATAAAATATACCATCATTAGATTTCCTTCAAATGAGAGGTCCTAAGTGCTCTTTAAAAGTAAATGCTAAAGTGTAAAGGTTTTTTTTTTACAAGAGTCTAATCCACATATAAGTTTCGGGAATTTTGTAACAGAACAAACATTTTTTAAATGAAAATGATGAAAACCAGTGATTTTATCCTTCACAGCAAGAGTCTTCTGCACTCCTGCACTCATTGTTATACATTGATTCATCCATATTCCTCAATGTTTTTGCCCATGTTGACCATTCAAATAAAATGATGGGTCTTGAATGATGGCTGTTATCTTGCTCTAGTGGATGAATAAGCCTGTTCATATCAGACAGGTACACCATCGCTCTGCTTTGCTAATTGCTGTACTTGATTATATAAGTTTTGCGATGGCCCTGTGATCACAGGCAGAAGAGCTCCTCAAGCAGCAGATAAATGAGGGGTAAAGAGACCTGGCAGCTGCATTCAGCCGCTCTCCACAAGAGTGACATAAACAGCAGTAAACCGCTCTTATGAACAGGAAGCTGGCAGAGACAGGTCAGTGTGTGGCACTGCACAATACGAGAGTGTTCACTGCAAAACTAAACCAGAAAGACCATTCATGTGACAGATGTTCAAAGACAACAGGGTGACACTAACTGCAAAGTGACTCAATAAACCAGTGTTTATGATGCCAAAGTCTATTTATCTTAGCTGTTTCATCTTAATTTACAGTTTTTAATATTATATCAGGACCTTTTAAATGTCAGGACTTAACAAAACAGATTTCCTGTCTGAAATTGCTTGTCAATTTCATAAATAATTACAAATAAATGGCAATTACCGGTAATGCACTGAATTAAACATCAAATTTTAAAGTAGAAATATACGGAAATAGTATTTTCTTGTAAAACGTACTGCAATAATCTTAGTTTTCTTTACATTTTCTTTTTTTTACAGTGCAGTCTTTTGCTTAACTGTTTTCACTGTCCCCACAATTAAAAATATATGAATAAATAAAATATACAAATAACAAAATATTTTACATGTGTCATATGAAATGTATTTATTTACTTATTTGAATGAATGCATGAATGAATTCAATTGTTTGCCGTTTCATTTGCAAGGCATAAAAACAAATACATAACCAGCAAAGGTAAAATTTGTAGAACACAATTTCACAGTTCTGGCAAGTTATCTGCTCATTATTTTTGTTGAACCATTTCATATATTTTTTACGGATGAAGTTCTGGCAACCACAGCTGCCGGTATTTTACCGTAAATGTCACAGATTTTTTTTTACAGTGATACTTGTAAGTTGTATGTCAAAGTGCTGGAGTAAGTCTATGAATTCATTCTTTTCATTACAGTTCAGAATCTGCCAATCAGCTCAAATACTTCCTTTAAAGTCGGTGAAATGAAATGAATGGCTTGACTGTGTGTCAAACAAAAGCCCTGTGCGCAAAGGCTGGAGGGTCACGCCAATTCACCCCAGGAGTCTGAAAAAGGCCAGATAAAGCTCTCGAGTCACATTTCATTTTGATTCTTTTGCCACATTAATTGATAAAACTGTCACTCAGACACAGCTATACTTTCCTAAAGCTACATTTTCAGTTGTGTTCATTATCATTCTGCCCATTTAAAACTAAGAACAAGTTCACTGAATGACTGCGTCTGATCCTGCTTTATTTGTGGACTGAACAAATTACTGTTATAGAGTTATTATGTTTAAATATTTCTATGTATTTGCAAATCATTCATTTCAATTTGTGAGACAGAGTTGACTATTCATGATTGTGACAGAGAGTACTAACTATAAAAAAATATAATAAATTTTGTCTTAATAATGAAATTTGACATTTTAATGTCAAAATAGGGAATGTGAAACCTTATGTATGAATAAAAGAGGTACATTTCTAAAATTACCATTTTCCTTCTGGCAGGACATAGTAGTAATATGAAGAAAAGAAAAGATAAAAGATACATATTTATATTTTTGTTTTTTAATATATTTATCAATATATATGAAGTCTTGAGCTATGATCTGAAGAGAAAATGAAAGTATTATTTTAATTAAAAAAAAAAAAAAGTGCATTCTAGTGACCAACTGTGATTAATTTCAAAGTAATATTGCTGTTTTTAAAACTATTGCCATATAAATGGAAAATCAGCACTACATCTCATAAAAAGTACATAATTTCTCAAAAAAACAATATTTTGATGAAATAGACAAATAAAATAAAAAGATAAAATACCCTAGTAAAAATCCTATGCCATCATTTATTTAAAATACCTTTATATCATACTAACTATACTTCAAATCCATTAAAATGTTTTATTGACAAATCACTTAAGACTTGCTGATTTAAAATTATAATTAAACTTTATTTGCAGTATTTCTTTATTCCACAATGCACATTTCTTAATATTAAGCCTAAAATGTGTTTTAATGTCTGTTGATGAGGATTGTATGATCTTTGAATAATATTGGTCTTTAAATGCAAGATGTTTAAAGCGTACAGTTAAAGTGCATTAAGTACAAAATTAGTTGTTCCAATTTAGCATACTTTAAGTACACCAGTTTTGTATATAAGTACAATTACCATTAAGTACATAAATATGTAAATGTATTTGTAGGATACTTAGCACAAAATAAATGTTTTTCAAATACATTTTACTATTTATTTTTCACTAGGGTAGACAGATAAAATAATTTTAAAATGAAATGGCACACTTGTGTTAAGAACGTTCTAGTGATCGTCTGTCAATTATTTCAAAGAAGAAATTTGCTGTTGCTATTGGCATATAAAATTGCGGGAAAACGTTTTCAATGTCACAGCTTCTTATCATAAAAAGTCCATAATTTCTCAGATCAGCTTCTGTTGAAGTATTTTGAGGAAACAGACAGATTAAATGGTCAAAGTGTCAAATCCGGAAAACGAATCTTTTTTTGTGCTTAATGCTAGATAAACACATGAAAAGCACGTGTCAAATTCCCAGGTCCCAGTAAAAGAGGGCGAGCCTGCAGAGGGGCTTGACTTCTCGCCCCTGGAGTGCTGAGCTGTCAAAACAGAGCTTTCTTCCTCATCTCTCAGGCACATTCCTGCGTAATTGAGCTGATGATTAGT